CTGGCAGTACTTGGATGTTATGCCTGTTACAGCTTTCAAACCCTCAGAGTGAACAAATCTAAGAAAGAACGAGATCCTTGTTAGTGCAGGTCCGTCCAGTGTCATAGAGGGGTTGTCAACAGAGGAGAGGGTGTGCACGTATGTGTGGGGTTAGAGCTTTCTGCACTTTCCACTGAACCTAAGGCTATTATATAACATTTGTGTTAATTTTATTAATTAACTCCCAAATCCTGTAGGAGGCATAGAGGTCTTGGTGCTCACAGATGTGCAATAGGGGAACTTGGAATGTTAGCTCAGAGTTGTTCCTTCAAGGGAAGGAGTGTAAAAGCCATTTCCCACCCAGAGAGCCGGAGCAGACCTGCTGTCTAGCCTGGTGACCTCTGAGAAGTCTGTGCAGCTGAGATCTTCTGGCACCAGACTCTTTTCCAGGTCCGCTTTCATAGACTTGTGTTTTCAGTCAATCTACAGAACCTACTTTACGGAAGGTGTCAAGTATACTTCACAAAGGGTTTCTATGTAGTCATGTGTGTATTTAGCTCCCTTTGTAAGCTTTGCTGTGGACATGGGATTGAGTTCGCCAACCCCAGAATAGTTTTCACCAGGCTGTGCAGTGTTTCAATACACCCAAAATAAGCAACTCCCAGGATGTGAACCAGCACCGGCTACTGCTGCACGGAGCTGCCTTTTTGCCTCCTGTGGCTTGTGGCTCTGCTGCCCATGAAGGTACAGAGAGCCCCACACAATCCCCATGTACATTGTTACTATACCTGTTTACAGATGACCAGAAGAAATGGTGAGCAAAGAAAAACTGCACAGGTCCAGGAATCTTAAGGAACCCAGAGCAGGTGAGACACAAGAATACCACACCATACCACACCTAGCCACATCACTGCCATATCTACTGAAAACCAAGGCTAAAGAGAAATGTTAAAAGCAAAAGGGTCACACACACACACACACACACACACACACACAGAGGGTGGGGGAGGAAGAGAGTGAGAAGAATAGTGACAACTAATTTATTGTGAGAAACTATATAAGCAAGAAGGTCATAGAGCAATCATTACCTTTAAAATGGTACAAGATGATAATTTTATATCCAGAAAAAATGTCTTTTACAATAAAACAACAATAAAGAGTACCTTAACCGGGCATAGTGGTGCATGCCTTTAATCTCAGAACTCCGGATGTCTACATGTCTACGAGTTCAAAGACAGCCTTGTCTACATAATGAGTTCCAGGACAGCCAGATATAGAGAGACCCTGTAAAGCCTGTAAAGTATCTTACTATTGATTGATTTTTTTTTTTTTGGTTTTTTTTGAGACAAGATTTCTCTGTGGCTTTGGAGCCTGTCCTGGAACTCCCTCTGTAGCCCAGGTTGGCCTTGAACTCACAGAGATTTGTCTGCCTCTGTCTCTACCTCCTGACTGCTGGGATTAAAGGCATGCACCACCACTGCCCGGTGGTTTTTAAAATTCTTGTTGATGAATGCTTTCCCTGCATGTATGTATGTATGTATGTGCACCATGCCCGTGCAGTGCCCATGGAGCCCAGGAGTTGGCACTGCATGGTTGTGAGCCACCAAGTGACCCTGGGAACCAAGTCCAGAGCCTATGTAAGACCGACAGCAAACAGCAGGTGCTCCTAACCACTGAGCCATCTATCTTCCCAGTCTCGGTTTTTTGTTTGTTTGTTTGCTTATTCTTACTTTTATTTTTATTTTATGTTCTTTGGTGTTTTGCCTGCATGTGTATCTGTGTGAGGGCACCAGAAGGCCTGGAACTGGAGTGACAGACAGTTGTGAGCTGCCGTGTGGGGGCTGGGAATTGAACTCAGGTCCTCTGGAAGAACAGTCAATACTCTTAACCTCTGAGCCAACTCTCCAGCCCCACCTACTTGTTTTTTTAAGGCAGGGTTTGTAGCCTAGGCTGGCCTGGAACTTACTATATAGACCAAGCTGTTCTCTTGAACATTTGGCCTCATCCTCCCATACATTGGGAATATACGTATGTGCCAGCACGCCTAGCTTTCTCATTTATTATCAATTAATTAATTAGTTAGCTAGTTATTGCAATGGTTTGAACTCAGAGCCAGACAAGAGCTCTAACACTGAGCAACACACCCATCCCCTAAAAATAGTTTTAGCTAAATTTAGAAAAGCTAAAGGATGTTCTTTAGGCTAACAGGAAATGCTATCAGTGGTATATGGTTTGGTTTTCATCTTCAGCGTGGGAACAGTGCATGCATCAGATTGGCATGTCTGTGGGGCATTCTGATGGCTAACAGGGCCCAGTCCACCGCAGGCAGTGCCACCCCTGAGCAAGTGCTCTGGGTTATAGAAAGCTGGCTTGAGCACGTCCCAGTGTAACCATATAGGTCATATTCCGTCATGCCCCCTGCTCTAGCTCCTGTCTTCAGCTTGCACCCCAGCTTCCCTCAATGACGGATGGTAACCTGTAAGCCAAACGAACCTTCTCTCTTCTCCAGGCTGCTTTGGTTATGACGTGTATCACAGCAACAGGAAGCTAACTAGGACCGACAGAACTCTGGATCCACAGAAAGGTACAGCATTAGAAATGAAATAGCATCAGAAAACCAAAAAGACTACAGCCATCCCTCTGCATTCACATGGAATTCATTTTCCTGTGGGTACCAAAACCCACAGGCATTCAAATCCCTCAGTGAAAGGCTTAGTCTTGTATGCCACCTGCAGGTGGAGAGAAGAGTTCATCTGCCTCTAGATTCTTTATACCAACGTATTGTATACTGTATCATCAGCCGTACGCTTGCCACTGTATGGCTTAAGAACTAGTACCCCTGAGCCTGGTGAGGAATCCCGGCTACTCAAAGTGCTGAGGCAGTAAGATCGCAAGCTCTTCAACCTTGGCTTGCATGAGCAATTTAGTCAGGGGATAGAGTAGGGGCTGGAGAGATGGTTGGGTGGCTAAGAGCACTTGCTACTCTTCCAGAGGACCCAGGTTTAGGTCTCTGTACCCATGTTGGGTGGCTCACACCACCTCCATCTCCAGGACATAGGACACCCTCTTCTGGCCTCCAAGGACCCCACCACCAGCACTGTTAAACGCTCACACGCATATACACAAAGATAAATATAAATCTTAATAAAAAAGATGGCTCGGGATGTAGCTCAGTGATAAGGTTGCTTGCATAGCATGTGCATGGCTCTGAATTTGATCTCCAGCAACCAGAAAAAATGAATAATGATTTTAAAAATCTGTACATGGTCAATATGGGTTCAGGATTTTGAGGTTTTTTGTTTTTTTTTTTTTGGTTTTTCGAGACAGGGTTTCTCTGTGGTTTTTGGAGCCTGTCCTGGAACTAGCTCTTGTAGACCAAGCTGGTCTCGAACTCACAGAGATCCACCTGCCTCTGCCTCCCAAGTGCTGGGATTAAAGGCGTGCGCCACCACTGCCCGGCTTTGAGGGTTTTTTTGTAATATTTTCAAACCATAATTTTTCAAACCATAGCTGCAGAATGTGCAGTGTTTAAATTTGTATCTTTTTTTTTCAAGACAAGAGTTCTCTGTGTAGCCTTGTCCTGGAACTCGCTCTGTAGACCAAGGCTGGCCTCGAACTCACAGAGATCCACCTGCTTCTTCCTCTGCCTCCTGAGTGCTGGGATTAAAGGTGTGTGCCATCACTGCCTGGCTATCTTATTTTTATTTTTTAATGCTAACTGACTTTAAAGCGATGATGACGACGACGATGCCAATGACATGGGCGTGCGGATGTTTGTAGCTTCATAGATACCCACTAACGAAGCTGCTCAATGCCCTGGGTTCAATTCTCATCACTCTCAAAAAGTGTTGTGGGGCTTATAACAAATGTAGAAGAGCACAGAGCGGTGACAGCACAGGAAGAGGATGGGACTAGGACCACGCACACCTAGAGCACCTACATCCGTGTGGGACACACACTCACAGTTGGCGTAATACTGAGGCATTATGTAATTCATGTAAAACGTGGTGAAGGAAGGACAGTGTTGTTCTTAGCAGCTGTGATCAAACCAACAGAAACAGGGCTCGCTACAGAGCTATCAGTGGGAGCAACAACCCCCAAAGTACTCTCTTTTGAGGGAGGCAAGTGAGCCCGCGGCTCAGAAGCAGAGCAGTGACTAACTGCAAAAGAAGACCAGGAGAGGAGCAGAATAGAAGAGCAGATAAACAGATACCAGCTGTAGATGGTGACCTAAACAGAACTCTGTCGATAATTGTGCAGATGACGAAAACATCAATGAACTAAATGGCAGACTCTGGAAACTGCAAGCCTCATGTTATCTACAAGAGATGTACTTTGAATACGTTGGCACCAACATGCAGAGACAGCAATTATTACAGCATTGGTGTGGTGACTCTAACAGACGACAGAACAGAACTCAGGGTGAGTGTTCTAGAGATGTAAGTGTCAATTCCACAAAGGCAAAGGCAGCACTGAAATCCTAAACATGTATCTGCTTAACGACAAAGATTCAAAACACATAAAGCAAAAATTGACTATATTAAGGAGAGAAATAGACAAATCTACATTCAGAGATGGAAAAGGAAAGAGAAATATAAGCCAGGTGGTGGTGGCTCATGCCTTTAATCCTAATACTTAGGAGGCAGAGGTAGGCGGATCTCTGAGTTTGAGGCTAGCCTGGTCTACAAAGCAAGTTCTATGACAGCTAGAGCTGTTCCCCCCAAAAAAAAAAAAAAAAAAAACCCTGTCTCAAAAAGCCAAAAAAGAAAAAGAGAACACAAAAAAAGAAAAGAAAAGAGAAGAGAGAGAAAGAAATACAGGGCCAAAGAGTCACGCAGAGAAAGAAATGGATATAGAGCCACAGACAGACAGATTGAAAAGGGTAGATGATGGGTCCCAGCAATAGGCAGCAACTGATGGAAGGAGCTCTGAATCACACAGGAGAGTCAGGTGCTCCGGGTTCAGGAGCCTGGGATGATGGGATTCTGGAGGGATGGGTAGGGGGAGAGTGCATCACTTACCGGCAATCCCATTAACCCTTGGGGGCCAGGTTCCCCAGGCAGTCCCTATATAAGAGGGGGAACAGAATTAAGTTAGCTGATGGCAGCTATCACCTAGGACCCCACAGCCTCCCCAGATTCCCCCACTGAGGTCACTGGTGTACTCACTTTCTCGCCTTTCTCTCCTGGGTGGCCAGAGGGTCCTTTGGGTCCAGAAGAGCCCGGGGTTCCCTGAACAATAAGACAGGGCCTCAGTCTTGTGCTGGGGTAGGTATATAGACAGGAGATGGGGACAGAGGAAATGGGAAGGGAAGCCCCAGCTTGGCCCAGGCCTCATAGCAGGCTCAGTACACAGCAGGCTGGTCAGACATCCCCACCCCATGGGCCGGCTGCAGCCTGAAGAATCCCCCTCCGCCTCCAGGGATAATAGTGCTTCTTGTTGGGTGAACTGAGTTAAGAAGATTTATGGCAAGCACTTTGCATATCAAAGTACGCACTGAACAGCCGGATGAACAGACGGGAGAATGGAGTTACGCATGGATGATAGAACCTGGATAAAGACTTACCATGTGTCCAGGACTCCCAGGGGCACCCGTGGGGCCAGGAAGTCCGGGAGGACCTGAATAAAGCAGGATGTCTTCAGGAACAGAATGGACCACAAGACTAAGGAGTTTCCCAATAACCACAGCCCTGCTCCTTTCTACCAACCCCTACCCTTACCCCAGCCTGGATTCAACTTACCCATGGGCCCTGGGGGGCCTGGAGGGCCTGGGGATCCAGTGGGTCCTTGGGGCCAGTGGCTGCCGGTCTCAGTGAAGGTGTTAGACAGTAATGGATCTCCTGAAGGGGGAAAGACAGCAAGTGAGTGGAGCTGGGGGAGTAGGCCATCAGCCATCGCCTGTCACTTCTGCTACATTGGCTCTGACTGCCCTACAGGACAGCCTGCAACACAGACAGGGCCACCAGTACCTGCTGCCAGGTACAGAGAGGAAGGGAGCCTGGGTTCTAACCCTACCACAGTCTGGTTAGCGACATTAAGAATGCCTCTCTCTGGGCTGGAGAGATGATGGCTCAGTGGTTAAGAGCATTGCCTGCTCTTCCAAAGGTCCTGAGTTCAATTCCCGGCAACCACATGGTGGCTCACAACCATCTGTAATGAGGTCTGGTGTCCTCTTCTGGCCTGCAGGCATACATGCAGATGGAATATTGTATACATAATAAGTATAAAGAATGCCTCTCTCCTTTGCTGGCCCCGTACAGTTCCATGCTGAATGAAAGAGAGAGAGTGGAAGCTGCCTTTTGCCAACTGTCTACTGTGTTTCGGGCTTCTGTGCATTGAGGATCATGGGGTCCCAGAAGCCTGGCATTGTTGCCTACACACGAAAGAAACAAGGACACTGAGGCTAGGAGCAAAGACAAAGAAGGTGAGATGAGAATGATAAGTGAGAGAACGAATAAGGAATGGTACCCAGTCATTCGCCAGAGATGGAGCTGGGTGGTGTGGGCACACGCCTTTAATCCCAGCACTCGGGTGGATCTCTGTGCGTTCTAGGCCATCCTGGTCTACAGAGTAAGTTCCAGGAAGAAAGAGGAGGAGGAGGAGGAGGAGGAGGAGGAGGAGGAGGAGGAGAAGGGGGAAGAAGAAGAAGAAGAGGAAGAGGAAGAAGAGGAAGAAGAGGAAGAAGAGGAAGAAGTGGAAGAAGAGGAAGAGGAAGATGGAGTTGAAATTGCCACAGTGCACTCCCTTGCTCCAGCCTCTGGTAGCATGCGGGTAGGTCAGGCCAGGCTACCTGCAGGAGATGCCTGGGATCCATGCTGGTATTCAGTTGGGGAGGGGCTGGAGCCACCCTGTGCAACAGAGGCCCAGGGCTGTGACATTGGGAGCTCAGAATTTGAGTCTTGAGTTAGGCCTGGAGCTGCCTGGCACTTTGAGGGGCTGAACTGCAGCCAGCTCTGAGGCATGGGGAGGGCCTAACGCCAGGTTCTGAGCAGGTGGGTCTGAAACCACTCCCCATCTCCCCAGTGTGTGAACACGGCATGCGATTCCTCCCTGGCCTCAGTGTCCTTCCTTGGTGAACAGAGATTGGCAGTACCTGCTAAGCAGGGTGACAACTGGGCAAGTTCAGCATGCAGGTGACACAGGATGGATGGCCACAGGTACCAGGGTTATGGCTGCTTCAGATTCAGTTACCCTACCTCAACCCCCCGGGACCCCAGGGGGACTTACCATTCAGGGAGATATGGGCGTGGGGTGGTCCAACAGGGGCTGGGGGGCCTGGGGGCCCAGGAGGTCCAGGAGGTCCTGGAGGGCCCATCTCTCCAGGGATGCCTGCAGCTCCTGTCTGGCCAGGACGCCCTGGGGGTCCCTGTGGACCTACAGTTAAGAACAGGAATGGATGGGCATATGGGAGGCGGGATAAAGATGTCGGGGGTAGTGGGGTCTGCCCTTGTCGTTCATCTGTTACAGGGACGAACGAACACAGCATCGTGCCCTCTGTCTCAGTCAGGCTGTCCTGGGCTCCCTCCTGGAGGCCTTCCAGACCTCCCAGTGTCCTCCAAAGAACCCTGGTCAAAGGGGCCGGGCACTGTCATTTCTCATCTGCCTAGCTATCCTCCATCCTGGAGGCAAAGACTGGGCCAGTTCCACCCAGTACCCAGTTCAGGGTCTGCTGAGCGGGGTACATGAGTCAAGTGGACCAAGACAGTTTCACAGCCCAGGAACGAACAGGTACCACTGCAGGGCTGCTGAGCAGGGGCCAGGGAAGAGGACCGGGCCTGACTGGAAGTTTCCAGAGGACACTGCAATTTCAGTGCTGGGTATACCCAGGAGAACAGAACAATTTTTGTTGTTCACAAGAAAAATGTATCCTCAATGCTCATAGTAGTATTATGTAGAGCAGTCAAAACTAGAAATCATATGCCCATTAACTAATGAATGAATAAATAAAACATAAAAAAAGAGGACCAGGCCTGTCCACTTTGACGATGCCAATGAAAGCATCCTCTAGTCCCCCGGCAGGAGGGATGCCTATATAAGTTGAAGAGAGTCAGCCTTGGGGGCACACGCCTTTAATCCTACCACTTGGGAGGCCAAGATAGGTGAATTTCTGAGTTCAAGTCCAGCCTGGTCTACATAGCAAGCTCCAGGCCAGCCAAAGGGCATAATGAGACCCTGTCTTAAAGCACAAAAAACAACAACAAATAACAACAACAGCAACAAAAAACCCAAATCTCCAACCAACCAACCAATACAATACAAAAAGAAGCTTGGGAGGCAGCCCCATGGGCACTCACCTGGTGGGCCTCTCATCCTCATTGGGTCCTGACTGTCAGTGTCTCCCTTGGGCCCAGGCAGCTCCCAAGGATCAACTCTGTCTGAAGAAGAAAGACCATGAAGCAGCTCTGTGGTGCTTTTGACCCGACCCCATCCTGGTCCCTCAGATAGATCCTACTATCTTGAGGTAGATATGCACCCCCTCCCATTCCCACAGATCCTAGTAAACCTTGGGCTGAGCAGTTAGGCAGGGGTCAGCATCCCTGCTGGGCCTGGGAGAGAAGATCCCAGATCCCCCTCCCTTAACTGGAACTGTTTGCTTCCCAGACTCCAACGGTCAGGAATCCCCAAGGGCTTCCAGTCATGGCCACTGGAGAGCTGGGAAAACCAGTGCCCTGAGGGTCAGAGGGGCATTTTCTCCACCTAAACTATCACATGGGGGTATATACCCTGCTTTACTCCTTACCCTGCAGGTCTCCATCTCCAGGACTGCCCTGGGCAGCTGGGGAACCCCAAATCAGGGCAGAGTCCTTAGGGGTAGCTGGGATTGAGGACACAGTCCGCTCTGTGACACTCAGAACAGCTACCTGTGGAAGAAGACAGAGATGGGGTGGGCTCAGGAACTCATGAGGGACAGTCCAGCCTTGGCCGTGGGGGTCAGGAGGCCCAAGGAGCCAGCAGAATCCAGCTGTGAGTGGAGACCTTGGGCTCACAGGGGTCAAGAATGTCATCAGAAGTGTCACACTTCATAATATGCCCTGGGGAACAGTCATTCTGTCCTGTTTCTGCCACCCACGTTGAGCTCTGTGATCATGGGATCTGCTGGCCATAAAAGTATGCTGCTTCTGTTAAAGCTCCACAGGAGGTTGGGAGGAGCTGTGTGCATGTGTGTGCGCGCACGCATGTGTGCATGCTGAAGACTGGCATACCGCCTCCCGCATGCCAAGCAAGTGCTGTACCATTGAGATTTTGCAGGGGTACTGGGAGGGTCTGACCCCCGCCCCCGACCAACATTAGGGCCTAGGACAAAGAAGATTCTGCAGATATGCCAAGCTCCTGACCCTTGGTCAGGAAAAGAAGAGATGACCACTGGCGGTGGTCTGTCCTCACAGCGGGTGGTTTGCAGTTATGTAACTGCTCCTCCTGCTGTGATATGGCTTCCAGATTTCCCTATGACAGCTAACACTTTACTAAACTTCTCCGCATCTGATCAGGACAAGTTCCCAGAGGAGGGCCATAACAGAGAAGAAACAGCATGTATCCATGCACGTCCAGAAACCCTGGAAGAAAAAGATGATTAAAACATGGTAGCTGCTGGGCAGTGGTGGCACACACCTTTAATCCCAGCACTCGCGAGGCAGAGACAGGCGGAGCTCTGAGAGTTCAAGGCCAGCCTGATCTACAGAGTGAGTTCCAGGACAGTCAGGGTTACACAGAGAAACCCTGTCTTGAAAAACCAAGGAAAGGGCTGGAGAAATGGATCAGTGGTTAAGAGTACTAGCTGCTCTTCCAGAGGACCCAGGTTCAATTCCCAGCACCCACATGGCAGCTCACACCTATCTGTAACTCCTGTTTCAGAAGATCCAAAGCCCTCGCATAGACGTGCAGGCAGAATACCAATATACATGAAATAAAATAAATAAATAAATTAAAAAAAAAGTGGTATCTTAGGAGCAGTGAGATGGTTCAGCTGGGAAAAGTTCCTACAGCCAACCCTAATAACCTAAGTTCAATTCCCAGGACCCACACAGTAGAAGAAAACAGCACCCTCAAATTGTCCTTTGCCCTCCACACACTCACACACGCACAAACAGCACTCTGACATGCCCACTAAACACAAATAAATAAAATAGTTCTCTAAAAAGGTGTCAGCTTACGGCTGTAAGCCCAGTTACTAAGGAGGTAGAGACAGTAGGATCTATAGTTCAAGACCAGCCTGCACCACACAGCAATACCCTGTGGGGGCTTAAAGAAAATGACCCCCAAAGGCTTGGCAAAGCGACTCAGTAAAGTCCTGCCACTGACTTGATGGACCCACAGGTTGGATGGAGACGACCCCACATACACACAATAAACAAACACATGATTTAAAAAGATAAGTGGGTCTCTAATAGAAGGCCAGCCTGGTCTATACAGTGAGTTCCAGGCCAGCCAGGGCCACGGGGTAAGATCCTGTCTCAGAGCCGGGCGATGGTGGCTTACGCCTTTAATCCCAGCACTCGGGAGGCAGAGGCAGGCGGATCTCTGTGAGTTCGAGACCAGCCTGGTCTACAGAGCTAGTTCTAGGACAGGCTCCAAAGCCACAGAGAAACCCTGTCTCGAAAAACTAAAAAAAAAAAAAAAAAAAAAATGATCCTGTCTCAGAAGCTGCTGGTTTTCTCTTTGGGACTCAGGCAGTCTCTGCAAATGGTTTTCTGGCACGTATTCTAGATTTCTGAGTTTTCCTGACCCTGTGTTTACTGTCTTCATTTTGTAACCTTAAAACCCTTCTTGAGCTAACTTGAGATATATAATGGGCATTTTCATTTATGTATATGGTGTGGAGGGGCAGGATAAAGGACAAAGGTGAGAGGCAGGAGAGGCTGTCATTGTGCTTGGGGATGTGCCTTGACTTATCTGCCTGGAACTGGGCCTCCCAGAGGGATGGTATGCCAGGCTATAGCACCGGGCAGTAGCTTCATGGCGAGGGCAATTGAGGAGCAGAGGGCAAAGAGCTGGAGGGACATCAGGCAGGACAGGGCCATGACTTCTGGAAAGCAGTCTGCCCGAGGGTGGAAGCTCAGCGGATGGGCAGGGGGTACAGGAAGGAGTGAGGAAGGCCAAGGTCTCCAAGGCCAAGGGCAAGAGGGAGGCTGCTCACTCACCTTGGCCTCCAGCACCTTCAGTCTCTCGGTCAGCTCAGAAACTTTGCTGCAGTTGAGACAACCTATGGGGAGGGGAAGGCTGGGCTAAGGCGAGAGGTCTAGGTCCCCTTAGGGGCCTTGCCCTTAGGGGAGACAGGTACCTAACAACCCTAACTACAGGGAAGCAGTGTAGGGCTGGGCTGCAGAGTCACTGTAGGCCCAGGTGGACTACACCCCTCGGGGTTCTTTCTATTCGAGAAGCCTTCAGAATGGAACAATTCTCCCAGCACAGGCTCTGGGGCCCAGTCTGGTGGTCTCAGCATCCAAATGTCCAACTCCAAAGCCATAGGCAGGAAATCCTGTTGTTTCCTACTGGGTAGGGTGGGACCTGGGCTCTGGGGATCAACAGACCACAATCGGATGCTACTGGCCTCACAGGTAGCACTGTCTGGCTGTCACAGAACCACACTCCAGCTTCTCTGTCCATTGGTTTTTTTAAATGAAGCCTGTACAAACTGGCTACTCTGGTCTTCACCGTGGCCCCGTGTGTTACACAAATGCCAAACAGGAGGCACCTGAGTTTGTGACAAGGTGCAGTGAGTGTCCAATACAGTAACCCACACAGCTCAGAGCAGCCAGGCCCGGTGCTGCCCACTCCTGGCTATGGCACCTTGGACAGGGCAAGGTACCACTTGATCCTCCGTGTCCTGCTCAGGGGAGTAGACTGAACAAGGTCTTCTGGGCGTCGTGGGGAGCTATGAAGCTTGGAAGCATCTGGCTGAAGCTTCAGGCTCCCCAGTACAGAGAGGAAACTGATGAGTTGGGCATAACAACAAAAGCCCAGGGTCACAAGACTCAGGGTGGCTGGCCCAATTCAGACTCCCCTCTAGGAACGCCGTCTGCCTCAAGGCTCTCTGTCCGGGGGATGAGGTAAAGTAGTGTTACCCTTGATCCTCTACTGCTGGACCCAGTAGACTTCCAGGGACAATCACCACACTCCCCTGGGTCCACCCTGGTCTCCTCCACCCCAGAAGTCCCCACGAGGCTGCCCCAGACCCACCTGAGAACGCTGTGGGCCGCATTGCCATCCGTCGCATGCTGCTGCCTGACCACGTAGGCTCCAGGAAGCCAGGGGAGCCTGCAATGGAGGGACAGTGGGCTAAGAGTTTGCTGACCTGAGCTAGCCTTGCTCCATTAGAAGGCACATCATGCTGTTGTTGCTCCAGCAACGATCTCTGCTCCCCTTTACTCACAGAGAAGCACAGGGAGCTGGGTAACTTCCTTGGGTCACACGGCAATAAGGAGGCAGGACCTAACAAGGTGGATGGCTGGTCAGAGGGGCTGGCCCTCTGTGAGGGCCACATATAAGCTGAAGGTTTCCCCAGGGACCCAGTATATGACAGAGCTGAGAGAGTAGAGCTAACAGACAAGCCCAGCTCCCAGTTCCTGAGTGATCTGCCGTCTCTGACCTGCTCTTTGCTCCCATCTGTAAAACTCAGCAGCGAGGCCTCTCTTCTTATTTGGCAAGGCCAGGAAAGAGTGATGCGTGCAAAGGGTCTACTGTTCATATACAGGGCTCAGGTACACAGTAGATGTTCAATAAATGATTGCACGGTTGCTATGCTTGCTCTCCATACCCCACTTAGTAAGACAATACTGAAGTGGTATGTTTTAAATGAAAGCCAGGGAGAGGCTGGCTGCCCATTCCAGGAGTCTACCCACTCCACACCCTGGAGGATTATTCAGCCTGGCTGGTCTGGTTTCTTGGGCCTGGGTTTCCACACAGCTGGAGGGACAGACTGGCCAAGCCAAGGCGGAAGGCGCAGCTGGAGGGCTCTCCAGCCGACAGCGCTAACTGCCCTCCTCAGCCCCCTGTGCCTGCCTTTTAAGGCCATGAAGTGTCATCCTGGGGGGAGACAAGACCCAAATAAGGCACCAGCCTGGCTGTTTGGACATGGGCTGTGGGTTGAGGCAGGGAATGAGAGGCGCCGGCAATCCAAACCAGACGGGTCTCTCTGGCCAGCCCCCAGCAGGGAGGCTGCCTGGCTCTGCTGTGTGCACATGGGATTTTTTGCTCAGGCAACTTCCTTAAGAGTCCCAGGGACCTGCAACTTGCTCAGGTATGGGGGCGCGGGGGGGGGGGGGTAAGAGCCTCCTGCAGGATACAGGAGTGGGGGTTTGCAGTCCAAGACAGTGGCACAGATGGAAGTTCCTGGAGAGAGTGGATTCCAGCGTGAAGTGCCCAGTGCATTGCTCTAAAAGAGGCAGTCACGGCAGTTAACTTGTGTTTAGTGAGTGCTCATACACACACACACACACACACACACACACACACGTACGCACACACATCCATTCCTGCACATCCTAAGCACCCCACATATGTCTTGTTTTGGTTTTACCATTACAAACTGGGACCATATGGTTCTAATAGGTGGGCAATCAGGCATCCTCCTCTGGTCCCAGGAACAGCCAAGTGGATGGGTGAAAAGACCCCTCCCTGCTTTTCTACTGGGGAAACCAAGGCAGAGGGATGAAGTGACTTACTCATGGTCCCCCCTCTGTTCTTCAGTTCATGACCAAACCCAAGCAAGGACCAAATCCAAACAGGGACTGTTTGCATGTCCACCTGGCAGGAAGGCTAGCATCCAGCAGGGGACAAACCCTTTGCAGCCCTTTATCTTTCTGTTCCAGGTGAGAATGCAAAATGCCACTTGATTATCTTTGCAAAACAAGGACCCAAAGCAGCACCAGTCTGTCTTTTTCTTTCTCTTCCTCCTCCTCTTCCTCCTCCTCCTCTTCCTCCTCCTCCTCTTCCTCCTCCTCCTCCTCCTTCTTCCTCTTCTTGTGTGTGGGGGTGATGTCTCATAGAGCCTACACTGACCTAGCACTCACTGTGTGGTCAAGAATTTGAATTTGTGGTCCTCCTGTATTCACCTACTAGGTGCCATGATTACAGGTGTGTGCCACCATGCCTAGCTCCCAGGTGTCATGATTACAGGTGTGTGTCACCGTGCCTAGCTCCCAGGTGTCATGATTACATGTGCCACCATGCCTAGCTCCCAGGTGCCATGATTACAGGGGTCACCATGCTTAGCTTCATTTCCTGATTTTAGAGGAGATTCTCCCTAAGTAGCCCAGACTAGCTTTAAATTTTTAATTCTACTGCCTAATCCTTCTTACCATTAGGATTAGAGGTGTGCGCCATCATAGCTAGCTTCTTTTATTTAAAAATTTATTTTTTTAAAAAAAAACCCAACTATCTCTTCTCATTTTACCATGCCAAATCCAGTTCCCACTCCCTCCCTTCATCCCACTCCCTCTACACCCCCCCCCTACAATCCTCAGAAAGGGTAAGGCTTCCCATGGGGAGTCAAAAAAGTCTAGCACATTGCTTTGAAGCAGGACCAAGGCCCTCCCCACTATATCTAGGCTGAGCAAAGAAATGGGTTCCAAAAGCCAGAACATGCAGTAGGGATAAATCCTGGTCTCACTGCCAGTGGCCCCACATTCTTTCCCAGTCATACAACTGTCACCCACATTCAGAAAGCCATGTTTGGTCCTATGCTGGTACCCTCGCTGTCAGACCGGAGTTGATGGGCTCCCATTAGCTCAGGACCCAGGCATCCACAAGGATGACCCCAGCTAAGACCCTAAGCAATAGAGGAGAGGGTGCCTGAACTGGCCTTGCCCTGTAGTCAGATTGATGACTATCTTAACTGTCATCATAGAACCTTCATTCAGCAACTGATGGAAGCAGATGCAGAGTCCACGGCAGAGCACTGGGCTGAGCTCCCAATGTTCAGTTGAGGAGTGAGAATATGAGCAAAGAGGTCAAGACCATGATGGGGACACCCACTGTTCCCCACAGCGCTTTTGGTGTGGGCATACCCTCGGAGACATACTGACTAGAGCCGCTCTCCAGATGACCACCACCGTCTGTCCCTTGACTTCAGCTCCTGCCCCACCAGGACAAGGACTCTTTCCATCTTGTATCTGCCAAAAGTCCTACAAGCCCCGCAGGACTACAAGCTCCTTGATTAAACTTTTGTCCGTAAACACACTCATACCTCGGGCAAGCAAAAAATAAGCTCCCAGCAAGCACAGTAGCAGGCAAAACAGTGCAGGTGATGGCCACAGCCGCCCCGAGGACGAGCTCACAAATGCTCTAGTGGCACACAGGCTGTCTCTGAGCTGCTGATCAGTGCACCTGCAGCTGCAAATCATTTTCCAAACAATTCAGTTTGGGACATTTAGCCTAGAGACGGAAAGAACTGGAAAAATGAAGAGAAGGGCTGTGGATGGCTCGGTCCGGAAAGTGCTTGCTGTGCAAGCTTGGGGACCCGAGTTCAATCCTTAGCACCCGTGTAAAAACTGTGTGTGGTCGCACATGCCTAAGCCCAGTGCTGGGGGATGGAGGGAGGATCCCTAAGGCATGGTATGGGCCAGCCAGGCTAGCTGAATCAGTGAGCTCTAGGACCAGTGGTAGACACTATCTTAAAAGAAATGTAGAGAGAGAGTAAGGGAGACACTCAATGTCGAGTTCCAGCCTCCATGTGTGTATACATGTGCTTGCCCACGTGTGTACACATACATTACACACACATACACATACCTACATGCATGTACATAATTTGGACACCCCCACACACATATACATTCACACACACATACATATACACATATACGCATACACATACATGTATACACACATATGTGTACGCACACATATGTACATGCACACACATACCTGGAGCAGCAGTATAGACTGAGTAGCTAAAAGTGATTATGAATTCCAATTAGTAAAGTAAGTTCAGTTGGACCTTGTGGTGGGCACCTGCAATCGCAACACTCGGGAGGTAGAGGCAGGATGACCAGGAATTTGAGGTCAGCCTGGTCTGCGCAGATAGACCTAGTCTCAAAAATGCTTAGGTGGGGCTAGAGAGACTGGCTGTGGTTAAGAGTGCTTGCTATTGCGGGGCGGTGGTGGCGCACGCCTTTAATCCCAGCAGAGGCAGAGGCAGAGGCAGGCAGTTCTCTGTGAGTTCGAGGCCAGCCTGGTCTACAGAGCAAGTTCCAGGAGAGGACAGGTTCCAAACTCCAAAGCTACACAGAGAAACCCTGTCTTGAAAACAACAACAACACAACAACAACAAAAGCAAAAACAAAACTCCCCCAAAAAGGAAAAGAAAATAAAAGGAAAAAGAAAAAGGAAGGAAGGAAGAAAGGAAGGAAGGAAGAAAAGAAAAGTGCTTGCTGTTCCTCCAGAGGACTCCAGTTTGGTTCCCAGCATCCACATTGTTTGGATCACAACTGCCTATAACTCCAGCTCCATGGGATCTGACACTCTCTTATAGCATCTTTGGATACCCGCATTCTCATGTGTCTATGTACATGCATACACATGTATGCACGCACACGAGCACAAACACACAACCAGATTATAAAATTTGTTTTTAAAATATTATTTTGGAGCTGGAGAGATGGCTCAGTGGCTAAGAGCGCTTGTTCTTGAAGAGGCCCTGGGTTCAGTTCCCAGCACCCACATGATGGTTCACAAGCCTCTGTAGTTCCAGCTCCAGGAGATCTGGGCACATACAAACACACAAGCAGAAAGCCCATAAAATAAGTAAATCTAAAAGAGAAAAATGTCTGGGTGTAAGGCTAGGGGTGTGGGGTGTGGTTAGTTCAGTGGAGGATTGCTGACCTAGCACAAGCAAGGCCGTAGGTCCCATCCCCACTGGGTAGTTTAAATGTGATCGGCCTCCATAATCTCATAGGGAGCAGCACTATTAGGAGGTGTGGCTCTGTTAGAGTGGGTATGGCCTTGTTGGAGGAAGTACATCACTGTGGGGGTGGGCTTTGAGGTTTCCTATGCTTAGGATATGACCCAGGGTCTCAGTTGACTTCCTGTTGTCTACAAGATGCAGGACTCTCAGCTTCTACTCCAGCACCACATGCTTGGGTTGGGTGGGGGCGTCCTGCTATGGTTAAGATATTCCATCACTCCCATTGGTGTTTGGTCAGAGGCCCTAAAGCAGGCTCACGGTTGAGGCCCTTCTTGCCCTGAAAGACTCCTCCAGCCCCATATTGTATACTAGAAGGGCCCTAGGCTGGTCCCAGAACCCCAGATCCCACTCACTCTGGGGCACTTCCCACTATCTAGGAGGTCTCCAACTGTCTGCCTGCATGTATACATCCCCTGCCCCAATTCCCACATCCATGGTTCCTATGCCACCTCCTCTAGTAAGGCCTCCTAAACAGGTCAGGTTGCCCATCACTGCCAATGCCCTGCTAAAGTGCTTATCGCTCAGTGTGCTGACTCCTGAGGCTGCTGTGCTCTGCAGTTTCTAGCCCTGTGTTCCCCTTCCTGTACCATTGTCCTTCCACATAGCAGGGCATGGAAGAGCACCAAGGCCCAGAGAGGAGGTCTCTGCCCTCTCCACACAGCAGGACCAGGTGGGCTGGGTTCCGACCCTTCCCCAAACTGGAAATGAGGAAGAAGCAGTTTGGGGGTCTCTGGGCTCCCTCAGCCCTGTGACTTTTCCTGCGATAGAGCAGAGCTGGGGGGAGGGGCTTCCTGGTTCACATCTGACCCCCCAGGCCCACATGGCTTGGTGACCACACAGACCACACGGCCACAGCCTTCCTCGCTGGGTCATGTCTCCTGTGTGAATTTACTTTGCAGATGTAAATATTTGCTGACTGCCAGCCGGTGGCCTAAGTCAGGGCTTAGGGTCAGAGCTGGGGCTCTGAGCTCTAAGAAACCTCCGGCCCAATGAGGGGGCCTCTGAGAAGGCTTGCTATGTTCCTGGCCTGGTCAGGGTGGGTGAGTTTCATTCATTATATGCCCACTCTCTGCCAAGCCCATTCCAGGCACTGGAGCTGAAGGGTCACACTGGCAGTGGGGCCAGCTTAGTCAGCCTCCCCACGGAGCACCAAGGTGGTCCCAGGCAGACCAGCTAGCCACTGTCAAGGCCACAGGGTGCAGGGAGAAAGCCAGTGTGGCACAGGGTGAAGGGTGTGTGCGTGAGAAGCTGGGTGTTATGGGAACGTAGGACAGCAGTGGCCTGCTGGATTAGCAGGGAGGAGGGGCTGGCTGAGCATTCTAGACAGGAATGGGAGTGGACGGGTGTTAGAAACGGGCGGGATGACAGAATATTTAGCCCCGGGACTCTGAGCCTATAAAGCAGAGGCTTGGCTCTGTACCTGGCACCTGGCTGGCATAGGCAGACATAGAGAGTGGAGAAGCTGAGGGGCCCTGGAAGGGCGTGGCCACACCCTGTCCCACATCTGCTCTGAGGCTTTGAGGCCATGGACTCTTAAGTGAATGTCCACCTCTGGTTCCCCGCCATCGGGGACAGGGGCCGTGGAGGTTCTAGGAGAGAGACATACATATTGGAAGACAGTGAACCAAAGAAGAGAAACAGAGGCCACATGTCTCTGGGGAACCCATGAACAGAAGAGGGTGAGCCCCAGCTTCTCCACCTTTCTGTCTGGGGATGCTAAGGCCAGCCTCACGGCACCCCACCCGTCTGATCAAGCTCCTCGGGGAGTCGTCAGCTGTGCTACAGCAGAACTCAAGCCTCACTCCGGAGCTGGCTTGACCTGGCTTTCCCCTCTCTGAGCCTCACTGTGGTGACAGAGGACAGTTGATGGCTTTCCTTCCCCATGTCACTGTCATTGCAGGAGGGGCTGAGACAGGATGCCACTGGAGAGAACCGGGTCACAATACTTACGTACTGTGTGACCTTGTGCAAGACCCACACCCTCTCTGGGCCTAGTTTTTATCTATGGGATTGGTGGACAGAGTTATGGAGTGAAAGGGCAGGGAAGGGCAGTTCCCCCCTCTGCACAGGTTTAGGCACTGACCCCTCTTCCAGCCAGGGCCAGGGCCCTGGCACTGTGCCAGCTCTCTGCCTGCCCTGCCTGTGTAGTATATTTTGGCTTTGGATCTTTCTTATCCATTGTTTCCACAAGTAGGTGGCCAGGCAGAGCCTGAGCCAGGCCATTTTTAGCCATATTGCCTCCTCCTAAAATCTGGAAGGACCAAAAGATGGGCGAATCTCAACCCTGGCTCTTTTATGCTGTGTGACCCCAGGCTGGTCCCTTCCCCTTTCTGAGCCTCACAATCCCCATCTGTAACAAGGGACCCTCATGGTGGTCATGAAGAATGTTACTGTCACAGCATGGACGTCCCCTTTCCATATGTGAGGAAATGGGTCCCTGTATCTGCTGGGTCACCATGGTCACCCCCAGCATAGGCTGCAGAGAGGAGAGGAAGATTTATCTGGAGTATATGAAAAATGCCAGGCACCACTGTCCACTTTTTTGTAAATTCTGGAATAGCAATGTTTCCCTTCCTCTGTAGCTGGAAGTGAAGCTCTGGGACCCAGGGTCATGTCACAGCTATGGGATGGCCACAGGAGCAGCCAACAGCAGGGGAAGCAGCTGGGGGAAGATGGCCTAAATCCAGCTGTGGGAGGAAGGGCAGAGCCCACGGTGAGCCAGCAATGTCCCCACACCTCCCAACTCCAGTGCCCACAACAGTTTTCCAGAATATTCGGACTGAGCCTCTCTTCTCCTTAGCCCTCCTATCCCATCCGTCACCGTGAAGCCTGACACCACCTCGCCCCAGGAACACCTGGGAAAACAGACTCCATTCTCAGACTCAACATATCACGGGTGGGGACCCTGAGGCTCGGATGCACCCGACAGCCTGGTGCCCTTTACTGACGCCCCCACATACACTCCATTTTTGTTTTGTTTTGAGATAGGGTCTCACGACGTATTCCTGGATGCTAGAACTCAGAGATCCGCCTGCCTCTGCCTCCCGAATGCTGGGATTGAAGGTGCGCACCAGCATACCCTGTCCTCCCCACCCCCGAGTGCTGGGATTGAAGGTGCGCACCAGCATACCCTGTCCTCCCCACCCCCGAGTGCTGGGATTGAAGGTGTGCACCACCATGCCCTGTCCTCCCCACCCCCACTATGAACAGGCACAGTGCTCAGAGTGCAATCCTCCAGGCTGGGCTCTTGCATAATGCCTGGGGGGTTCCGAGCTAAAGGTTCCACAGCCAGTGGGTGGCGAAGCTGGCTTGGCCAGGAAACCCCAGGTACCTGGTGCCCAGGGGACTGTGAAGGCCCCACAGAGACAGCGGGAAACATTGGAAGTGGTCTGGCACACAGCCTCCAGTCTCTGCCCCCACAGCTGCTCTATCCTCACCTGCTCACCAGGGCCCCGGGGACACAGTAGCCATTGTCTGATAAGGCCTCACCCGACCTCCCACACCTTGGGGTTTGCCCACAGTACCCCTGTGGTCTCCTTGGCAGCCGCCCCCAGCAGCTGGCTTTCCTTTACCCTTGGGGCCCTTCCATCTTCTCTGCTGGTGGGGAAGGCACTGGTCCAGGCTTCTACCCCTCCCATACTGACTGCATGGTTCCCTCAGTAGGGGTGTCTGATCTAGGGCTTGCTCACCCCGTTTCTCTGCAGCTCCACTTGAGACCACTGCCTCAGAACTGGCAAATCTTCTCCTGTGTCAGCTCATGCGAGGGATGGAACCCAGAGCTTTGCATATGCTAAGCAAGCACTATGTCACTCATCATGGACCCTGGGCTACAATCCCACCTCTCTGCCTTCAGTTCCCCATCATGAGTTGGGGGAGGGCGGCTTCACTCAGCTCCTCACTCCCCTGAGGCAGAGCCCCACTTTCAATGTCACTGTTTGTGCTAAAGCCAGCGCCTCAGGTTTTGGGCCACTCTGTCCCCAATAGGGCCAAGCCTGGGTATGAAGTTCTTTATCGTCTCAAACCTGCTGCTGTGAGCTCAGCCACGCAGTGAAGCAGGCAGCAGCACAGGAGGCAGGAAGGCCCAGGGAGAGCTGCAGGCTCCAACACCGAGCCACCCCAAGCTGAGCACATACAAGGGCAGTGTGTGAAAGGGTCCCTCTGGATGGGACACATTCTGTACATGGGGAACACAGATGACTGTACCCCAAAGACCCAAGACAACAGAGCCAGGGAGACAGCATTTCAGTCCCAAGTCTGCCACGTAGCTCTGGGCACCCGCGACTTCACAGGGTCTTAGACTCTTCTGCCACAGGGTGGGGAGCACAGCCCCCCTTTCCTAACTGGCTCAGATAAATGATCTAGGCTTTGCTATCCTGTGGGGACATCTGGATGACCTCCCCAGTGCAGTGCTTGGATGTTGAACATCCCATAAGCTGAGATGCTGAACCTGTGGTCCTCAGGGCAGCACTATTAGTGGACCTTGGAAAGGCTGGGTCCATGGACTGGGGATGGAGCTCGGCTGGTAGAATGTTCGCCCCACACACATGAAGCACTCGGGCATGGTGGCGCACACCTATAATCCCAGCACTCGGGAGGCAGAGGCAGACAGATCTCTGTGAGTTTGAGACCAGCCTGGTCTAAAGAGTGAGTTCGAAGACTGAGAAACTCTGTCTCGAACTCCCCCCGCCCCTGCAAAAAAAAAAAAAAAAAAAAAAAAAAAAAAAGAAGAAGAAGAAAGTTCAAGACTTACCTGGGCTACTAAAAACTCTATCTTTGAAAAAGGAGGTGGGGCCCAGCAGGATTCTTTTAGGCCACTGAGAAGTGCGCTTACAGGGGCACTAGCACCCAATCCAGCCCTTTCTGCATCGGCCGTGAGATGTACTCCTTCCCACAGGCCCAACGCTCTAAGACCAACCAACCAGTCGGGCTGGAAGCTCCAAATGTGAACCAGAATAAACCCTATTGCCATGTAAATGCATTGCATGAAGTATTTTGTCCTAAAACAGACGTGTGGAAAGCTGGCTCACACAGGTTAGAAGAAAGGCCTCGGGATGGTACGACTAGAAAGAGTGAGGCCATCTGGGCCCCTAAGAGGCCAGCCGTGACCATGAAGGGGACAGAAGGCATCATCTGGACGGGAGGCACTTCACAAATGTCCCAGGCCCCAGGCTTTCCTACCTTCCTCACAGGTCACCCCCGAATGTCCAGGGCAGCACCTCCATTCGCGGGTGGTCACTGTCTTGTATATCACTTTGTATGTGGGCCTCACCACCGTCCTGTAGCTGAGAGAAAAGCCAGGAGTGCCAGCTCAGCCTTCCACCAGCTTTCCCGCTCTCCTGTGATGTCGTCTTCCATTTCCACCCTTGGATTTAGCTCTTTACTCACCACCACGGCCACGGACTAGCCTGCTCCTCACTGTGCAGTCAGAGCTCTAGCACGATCCTCCATGCAGAGGCCCTGAAGTTCCCCCTACACAATGCTGCCTTTGTCTCACCTATCCCGAGGCCCCCCCGACTTCCTGGGCACTCCATGCAATCACTCAGGTCTTAGCCCGTGCTGTGCCCCAACGAGAAGAGCCAGTTCCTTCCCCACCACAGTGCCACTCACCTGCTCCCAGGGCAGCCCATGGGCCACGGGCAGTTCTGCAGCACTCGCTGGAGGTAGGTGCCATTCTGCACATGGCACGAGACAGTGCGGGTCACCACGTAGGAGCACCAGTTCCTAAGACAGACCCACAGAAAGGAAGTTCAAGTGGCAGGCCCAGGACTCCAAGCAGATCTGTTCTCCAGAGCCCTGTCTCCAGGCAGGGAGACCCCTGGGTTCTGTGTCTTTTAAGTGTGGTAGCTACAGAGCCTCTAGTTCTTAAGAAAACTTAATGAAGCCGGGCGGTGGTGGCGCACGCCTTTAATCCCAGCACTTGGGAGGCAGAGGCAGGCGGATCTCTGTGAGTTCGAGACCAGCCTGGTCTACAAGAGCTAGTTCCAGGACAGGCTCCAAAACCACAGAGAAACCCTGTCTCGAAAAACCACAAAAAAAAAAAAAAAAAAAAAAGAAAAGAAAAAAAAAGAAAACTTAATGACCCCCATGCTAGGGGCTCCCAGGAGGCCTCAGGGAATGAGCTACAGGGGCAAGATGGAGCAGGGCATGATCATCACGGCTCTGCCTCACTTCTGGTCTCTAACATTGAGTTTCTGCCCTCCCCCCCCACCCCGTCCCCTGCCGCCCGTTGAAGCCTTTTGGAAAGAAGCATACCTTTCCAAAGTTATTTAATCTTCACCTGTTTCTTAGGAAAAACATTTCCAGTCAGGGGTTAAGAGGCAAACCCTGGGGTCACCTGGCACTGAGGCCAACAACCACCCACTGAGAACACTGGAGACTCCAGAACCTCGGTCTCCCCATGTGGGAAACTTCAGTAAAGGAAGAATTCCTCACGTGCCTCAAGTGTCACAAGCAGGCTCCCATCAGGGTCTGTGACGGACAGCACTCGGCCCCAGAGGCGGTTTGACAAGCATGGCTTATCTTAAGGTTGTGCACACACAGGAACACGTGCAGGGAAGCGGAGCGTGGGCTAGGTTCTTTCCCTCTACTTTATTTTTCTTTGTTTATTTAAGACAGGATCTCATTAGGTATCCCAGGCTGGCCTCAACAATCCTCCTGCCTCTGCCTCCTAACTCTGGGACCACAGGCATGCGACATTTTCCAAGCTCCCGCCGTCTGGAAGGGCACTTGTTCCGTAGCTTTGGGCTGTGTGTGAGAGCCGGTTCTCAGGTTAGCCTGCTGAGGCCTAGCCTTCTGCCATAGTCTTGTAGCTGCTCAAACTAGTGCCAGGTTTGAACCATGCCCAGCATTGTGACGACACTCACTTTCCTTGCTCCTGTCAAGCCTGACCATCCCATCCATCAGCTGTCCCTTCCCTGGACCTCTCTCCCCTTGGCCGGTTCCAGGGAGGCCCAGAGGATGAGGGCACTTCCTCAGCCTCACAGACTGAAGCTTTCTCTTCCTTGTAGGTGGAGTGGAGCTGGGGCAGCTGAGTGGGGGGTGGGGACTGCTGGACTGGTGCAGGGAGGGGACAGGGACATTCCAGGTGCTCAGTAGCCCTCAGCCTTGCCTGGGGTCAAGAGCCCAGAGCAATTTGTTGGGGCTCAGGAAGGAGGAGTTGGTGTCAGGTGGCCTTTCTCAGTCTGGGCTATCTTCCCTGCAGACTACTCTTCACGGCCTTGAGCCCAAGGTCAGCAGCTTCCCAGGCTGAGGCCTTCACAGAGCCACAAACCATGTCTCAACCAACACAGAGCAGATGAGAACCAATGACTCTGGAATCAAAGGCCAGGCCTGGCCAGCTACATTCTTGGGCTCAAATCTGACTCTGTGCCCCCAGCTTGGTGACATGTTGTCTTCTCTTCCCAGGGTCTCAGTTTCCTCTCTAAAATGGAAGAACGTCTTTCTGGCTTAGTAGAGAACCATTTAAATACCCATAGCATATAGTAAGCCCAGTGTGTGCAATTCGGCATCTTGACGGGTCAGTCATCTGTGCTTAGAACATTGCATCCTAGCTCTCTCACGGAGGCGACATGAGCATCAGTGAGGTAGTACCTGACCTCTCACATGGCATCCACGGATGGGGACAAGCACAAACCAGCGACCTAACTCTACATGCTAAGGAAGGTAGGGAATGGAGGGTTAACCACAGCAGGTTCTGAGCATCAGGAAGAGAGAGGAAGCAAAGGAGAAACATGGTTGGCTCCATTCACGGCACTCCTTAGATGGGTGTGGTGGTTTGACCTGCATTGTCTGTGCTCTGGAGGCTGAGGCTGAGGATCGGTTGGCTAGCCCAGGTGACAACGCAAGACTCCCACCTCAGAAAACTAAAATATAATGGCAAATGGCTCAGCTGCAAATGCCTGATGTTGAATCCTTGGAACCCACGTGAGGGTAGAAGGGGAAAACCAACTCTCCAAAGTTGTCCTCTGACTTCTACACATGTGTGACACACACACACACACACACACACACACACACACACACACTGTGGACAGTCTAAGATCATGCCCTCTGTATGTTTCCACACAAACAGTGTCATATAGTCTCACCATGCACACCCGTGCACACACACACACAAACTGGCAGAGGCAGGCTCAGCAGGGCTCACATGCATTTGAGCTTCTGGGCACACGGCACACCCAGCCATGCTCTACATGCGTGAGAATACCCCTCCCCAGCTGTGAATGAGGCAGGGGCAGTCCGAGAACTGTGGAGACTCACAGTGTTCCCAGTTATTTGCCACATGCCAAACTCTGCCTGAATCCCCTGTGTGGACACTTGGAGCAGTAGCTGACCAGACATTTTATACAGGAAGGGATACTCAAGCCAGGAGGAGTGCAAGGTCAGCGGCAGCTGCCTCCACCACCTGAAGGAGCAGAAGCCCAAGCTCCGACCTCGCCCACTTCCAGGCATAGCAGGGGGTTTGACTTGGTTTTTTACATCTTATTTGTGTGCGTGAGCATGTGTGTGTGTATATAATTGTATGCATTCCTATGCATGTATGTGTGCATGTAAGTATGTATGTGTATGCATGTATGTGCACGTACATTTGTGTGCGCATGTGCAAGCATATTGTATGTATATGCATGTGTGTTCATATGCATGTGTCTGTGTGTATGCCAAAGTGTGTGAATGGAGGTCAGAGGCCAACTTGTGGGAGTTGGTTTGTTCTTTAATGTGGGTCCTTGGAATTGAACTCTGGTCATCAGGCTTGGTGGCAAGCACCTCTACCTGCTGAGCCATCTCAGTGGTCCCTGTAAGCTTTTTGCAAAGCATGTATTGAATACGGTCTCTGCTTGCCATGGAGCTCAAAGTTAACCATGACTCCACATTGTCCTGCAACCCCTGTTGCTTCCATCCTCAGTGCTGCTCACACCTACTGAGCACTCATGGGCCAGGCTGCCCCTTTTCCACTTCTGTTGTTTAGGATCTATTTGCAGAGCTCCACTCCCTTATTCTGGCGATTCCTGTTCACCCTTCAAGGTCCAGCCAAGACTGAGGTCTCCTCAGCCACGCACAATAGCCCTGAGCTATATTCTCTCCCATGAGACGAGGGCATAGGTAAGGACCAAGTCCATACAGAATTCAACTCAGGGATGTTTGTTGAATGACTGCGTGACTGAGAACACAGCAGCCTGGGCAGAGAAGTCAAGACCCAAGGCTTTCAGAGAGAGACATGCAATCAATACTCAGACACCCTGCCGTCTCTGAGGACTGCCTTCCCTGAGGTGTGGCCAGTGATAGAGGTGCCCAGAGGCCAGGTAAGGCTGAAAGGTGGGTCACGGGTAGGGGCTGGATGGAGACAACACATCCCTTCCTGGTCCTCCACCTCTGCCCACTCAGCACCTCCAGAACCTCCAGAGGCCACTGAGAGGGGCAAAAAAACAATCCAAACCAGCTCATCCTGGCCCCAGCGGCCAGACCAGAGGTCCTCCCAGATGTCCTCCCAGCTGTCCTCCCAGTGGACCTGCGCATCCGCCTGTATGGAGTGGCCCAGGGGACTTTGTCTCCTCAGGGCCCAGGGCTGCGATCCGGAATAGCGATAGGAACTAATTGCAGAAGGCAGCCAAGCAGGCCAGGGGCCAAGGGCCATTATGAAAAGGAGAGGAAAGAACTGAGACAGGCCGGTGGGGGTGGGGTGACAAGAGCCAGAACCAGAACCGCACCGGGGTACAGCTCCAGTCCTGTGATGTAGTTTCCTACAGCTGTCAGTGACCCTGGGACATGGTCGCGCCTGGCTCGGACCTTGCTATGCCCATCTGCAAATGGGGAGAGCAGAGCAGCTTCCCTGCAAAGTGCTCCGTGAGCCCTACCTCTGGGGACAGTTCCTCCTGGCCTGAGGTGTCACAGTCAGCCGTCGCTGATGACAACCTAGTAGGAGGGGCCGGGACATCAGCATCATGCTGTCTTCACAAGGTTCCACAGGCCTGGGGTTAGCCATGTGGGCATAGAACTGGCATCTGTGAATGGCTGGAGCCATTCAGAGAAACAAGACTGAGGCTGGGAGGGATGTCACAGGGGCAGAAAGCAATCCTACTAGGTGGGGGATAGGGACTGGCAGCAACAACAGGTTCCAAGGTGGTTCTGCACAGCCCCTGGACACCCTAGCTGTAGGGGGCCTGAAGTCTCACCACATTCCTGGGGTTGGGGTGGCCCCTTGGATGCTTTCCCAGGCCACCCCCTCCTCAGGCACAAAGCCTCTTTTCTGCCTTCCATCCCTCAGCTGCCAAGGGGTGCCTGGGGCGCTTGGCTGGGAGTGAAGGGAGGGCTGATCGGGCGCGACATCCCCATGCTGTCTCCAAGATGCTGGGACAGGGCCATGGGGGGAGGCCCTGGCAGCTGAGGACCTCAGTTAACTCCAGTTTGAGGTCCCTACCCTACTTAAAGTTGGTCACAGTGGGGATCCACGTACGTGGCCAGCACTGATTTTCACTCTCAGAACAAACCTTCAAACACAAGAACAGCAAAAGAGGAAACTGAGGCTCGTGGCCATGGTCTGGCCCTGTGTCTATAAAACGGGGGTGAGGGCACAGCAGGAAGGGCTTTGTGACCCTGACATTGTGACTGCAGTCTGTACAGAGATGGAGGAACAGACCCCAGTGAAGGCCAGAGACCTGCCCACAGGCAAAGCTCCCACACAGGACGCCCTGCGGCTCTGGGCTGGCTGGTGGGGAATATGGCCATAAGCTTTCTCTTCCATCACCCTGTCTGACCCTGGAAACCCCAAATTCCTAATCCCTCTCAAGTCAGCATCTGGGATTCTGGGGGCTTGCTGTACGGGCTCGGACAGGTCATCTCTGTACCTCTGTTTCTCTAAAAAACAGACCATAAGAGAAGGAGCCTTGGATGGCAGCTGGGGAAGGTTCTAGAGGCACCAGAAGTAGGAAGAGGGCCAAACCAGCTGAGGCTGGCACACTGTAGGTGGTGCTGTGACATCTGCCACACGGCTGGCTGTCCCTATGCCTCTGCCACTTCTGCCCTCTGAGTCTGCTCATGTCACCTGCTCCTGGGGACCTGCTGGCCTCTGACCACTGAGAAAGGGGAATTTCTGAAAGGAATGAAAGACTGAGGCCGCAGGGGGCCGGGGCCCTGGAGGCCGGTGAATAGGCTGAAAGGACTAAGAGGCCCCGCTAGTCCACATTGTCTGTCCCGGAGACAGAAGCAGGGACTGCAGGCCGAGCAGGGGCCAGAGCAGGTTCAAATTCTGCCATCAAGCCCAGGGGAAGATGTGAATCCCGGCCTTTTCACTTATAACCCACGAGGCCCCATCTCGGCCATCACCGGCCTCAGTTTGCTCCTCTACTGAATGGGGGCAGATTTTCCTCCATTCTTCAGTCCTGAAAGACACCATCTAGAAAAGGCCCCACAGGACCTTGTCCTGGGAAACACTCCACAAAAGCCGGCAGAGAGTCACAGGCTGCTGGAGTTCCAACCAAATGCCAGGTCCCAGGGGAGCCTCTGACACTGACCCACTGTGCAGACTCCACCCCAGTCCTTCCTCCAAGCGAAATAAATAGCTGGGGCACTAAAAAAAGTCAGCAACAGGGAAAAGGGGAGGAGATCCCTGAAGCGCCAGGCCCACAGAAGTCCTGAGGGGCTTTGGTTACAGTGCCATGGGGTTTATCTTCTGGGGGCTCTGGGATCTCAGGGGAGGAGTAGGGGAGGCTGTCTGTCCTTTCATACAGGGGTAGGTGAGCGGGTTCTCCAGAGCACCGGGCGCCTAGGTCTCCGCCCCCACAGTTATGGTATGGGGATGAGAGATGGAGCCCCTGCTCCAGTCTCAGGCTGCCACCAATGTGGGAGACAGGTCCCTTGCTCCAGTCCCGGGATTGCACGGAATTGAGGTCAGGTCCGCGTCCCGGTGTTGCAAGGAGCTGGCTGGGGTCGGGTCCCTGTACCAGTCCCGGGTTTGCACGGAATTGAGGTCAGGTCCCTGTCCCAGTCCCAGTGTTGCAAGGAGCTGGCTGGGGTCAGGTCTCTGTCCCAGTTCCAGCGTTGCAAGGAGCTGGAGTCCTGTTCCCTGTCCCAGTCCCGGGATTGTTCGAAGCTGGGGTCGGGTCCCTGTCCCAGGATCGGGGTTGCTCCCAGGCTCGGGGTTGCATGGAGCTGGGGTCCAGTTCCCTGCCCCAGTCCCGGGATTGCACAGATCTAGGGGAGACTTACCTGCGAACCGAGAACCGGGCGCCCGGGACGCTCCACGCGGCGCCGCCTCCCGGGAGCAGGAGCCCGAGGCAGAGCAGTGTCCAGGCCCGCGGACCGCCCATGCTGTCGTCCCCGCCGCTGCCGCGGTCGCGCAGAGCCGGTTCCGGGCTGAGCAGGGCGGGGGCGCTCGGCTTCGCCCGCCCCTCGCCCCCCGCCCCCGCCAACCCGGAAGCCGCCCGCGCCCCCGCCAGGACGCCCTCCAGGTGCCCACCTGAGCCACAGACCGGGAAACCAAGGCTCTGGCCGCGGTCCCCCCAAGCTGCCAAGACCCGAACCCACCACTCCTGAGTAATCACGCCCGGAGGCACTCCGCTCTGACATCTTTGAGGAACCGGGTTCCCGAAACATGCAGGATCCGCCCATCGACCCAACAAAGGCTTCCTGAGCTGTGCCATTGTCCCGGGCATCTCACCCCGCATATCCTGCCCTGAATGAAGCTTTTCATCACTCCATGCTGGGCGGGCAAAGTTGTCCAAGTTACAGATACGAAACCCAGGGCCCGGGCACTCTCTGGGCACCCCCTAAGTGCAGTGTCTCTGTTTTACAGATGGAGACCCTAAGACCCAGAAAGATGTCACCTACCCAGAGCGAACACTCTGGCAGTGACTGGCAGAGTCGGTCTTAGGGCCCCAATCGCCGCAGCTCAGTGTTGGGACCACTTAAGCACATACATAGTCAGCATTAGTGTGGGCCTCAGTTTCCCATTTTGTAAGGACTGGCTGAGAGTGGAGAGTACGGGTGGGACTCAAGCATGTTCCATGAGGCATAGTAGGTGTGTGTTTGTGTGGGCACATGATAGGCTGTTTGTATTTAGGCATGATGCTGTGTGCATGCATGGTGTTCTATACATGTATGTGCTGGATCTGTGTGCATGCATGACGTGTATGTGTGCGTGGGCAGTGTTGCTGATGTATGTTTTGCACAGTATTGGGAATTGAACCTATAACCTTGACTCTATCCCCAAAGTTAGCCCTGTTTTTGTCACAGCAGATCAGCAACTTAACTCCACCTCTACATGCTCGTCCCACTGCGGGGCCTACGTCTGTCTGAGGTCCCAGTCAAGCAGCCAGGATCCTCCATCAGCCCAGGGACACGGAGAGCACGCTGGCTGCCCTGCTTCCTACCTGGTGGGAAGCAGCCAAGAGACCCCAGCAGCTATTAGCAGTATGTCTGGACACTCCTGTAAGTTAGGACACCACATTCCCTAACTGACCCACCGAACACTCGGATGCTCCCTGCAGCTCTGGACTATTTCACACCGGGACAGGGCCTGACTTGCTGAGGTCGGAACCCCATAGTCTGCAATGTTGATTTATAACACGACCAGGCTGTTCTGTGCCCACTGAGAGCTGTGTGACCCAAGCCGTGTTTCCCCCATTTTGGGAAAATGACCTGGCATTGGTTTCTCTGAGGTGGCGAGGGCTTGGAAGCTGATATGACGGTCAACAGTGGGCTTTCTGGTTCTCTCTACAGAGGTGCAGAAAGCCGGGATGTATTTCCAGGGAGGGGCTTTTGGTTTAGTGGAGGTTTCCATGTTCACTGAGGAGGGCTGGGAGGGGCTGCTGACTCGAAATCACAGGTTGAAGCCTCCTCCCAGAAGCCCAGTCCCCTCACTTGCCAATCCCATATCCTAACTGCCAGCGACGATGTCAACTCCTGCCATGCCTCAGTGCCCCCAGCTGACCACAGGTCAGGTGGCGCTAAGCAGTTTGCCTGCTCTGTCTCTGCCCAAGCTTCTGCAATCTGGGAGTCAGCAATTTGTTCCCAGGTATAGGACTCAGGGCTGCTGGAGAGTGGGGGGGTAAGGCCCTGTGCTAACGACCAAACACTACTACCTCTTTCAGCCAAGTCCCACAGGAGGAGACTTCTTTGGGGTGAGGGAACTTGGCACAAACTTGGGCTCCCATCTGGACTGAAGAGGACAGAGCACATGCAGACATGCAGGGACCTGATAGGGGACACACAGATGGACCTCCTGGGGCTGGCCGTGGGGTGTGGGGACAAACCGTCCACCCAGCATTGCCCAAACAGGAAATGCTTTTCTTGCAAACAAACCTGGGCCATGGCCTCTTTCCCTTGGGAATTCCATCTGGACCTCAGCTCTGGACTGCCCCTGACCCCGCTTTGTCCTGTGAGACATTCTCCTAGCCCAGGGTGCACTGAAGTCCTGACTCCAGCAGCAGGGCAGGACGTGACCCTAGCAAGTCTGATTCGTATCCACCAGCCCCAAGAGTTCAGGCTCCATAGATCTGCCATCAAAGTCTACTCAGATAAAAGGCAAGGGCTTCTAGATCCAGGCTGGGGAAGGCGCCAGCTTGGTCAAGGAGGACTGGCTGGTGTGTGTGTGTGTGTGTGTGTGTGTGCTGGGGGGCGCTGGGCGAAGGAGGCACTCTGGCTGGCCGGCTGGGTGAACTCGGCCCACTGGCTGCAGCTGCCCTACAGTTACTTCTGCTCCGTGAGCTGCTCTTCTTACCCAGCTGGGGCTGGCGGGCATGGGAAGGAAGTGTCAGGAAATCATAAATTAGAACTGAGGGGCTTCCTGCCCTTCTCTGGAACCCTCCAGAGGAGCAGCCTGGGCTTTGAGGGGGTGCTAGAGAAAGCACAAGTCACCAGGCGGGACAGCACACCTCCCCTGTAGGGTCCCCAGTCATCTACAGGATCTTTTCCAGCCTCAGTTTCTCCAGTGGAAGATGAGGGTTTGGAATGTGCTGTTTAACTATGGAGGGGGGAGATAGAAGTCTTCTGACAACATCTGCTTTCCCGTCTCCCTCCGTCTCGGTCTTTCCCTCTGGCCTGCATCCTCCACACACCCTCGCTGCCCTTGCTGGGGTTCCTTGCCCTGCTTCTCTTTTCATACTACTCTGCAAGTGTGGACTAAGGAGGCTCATTCTGTGACAGCATCTGATGAGGAGAGAGGAGAGCTTCTTGGGTGCCCATACTGCAGCATGAATGGTTGATGTACTTAATGTCACTTAAAGTTGGGATGGAGGGCCATTGACTGAGAGTCCACCTGATTTAAAGTCTCAATCAATAGCAATAAGGTTGATCAGAAGGCTGTTTGCTGACCAGGGGCCCAGAAGTGTGTTCTGCAGTGTGGAAAGGTGTCCATGTCCCAGCCCCAATAAGGTCAAGAGCACTCCTGTTGGATCACAAATGAAGGTTGGAGCTCCCCAAAGTTAGCTGGATATGGAAGAGGAAAGGACAGGGAAGAGGTGGAGCTCACACCAGAGAGCCTGAAATTGCTGGTTGCCATGTCAGTCCCAGGTGGCACTGAGAACCTTCTCTGCCTGACACCTGCCCGCCCCCTCCGGAGTGGGTGGGTGCAGATGGTTCTCATCAGTGAAGGAGGCTTGGGGGGGACTCAGAGGAGGAAAGATGGTCGGGTGGAGGGACACACACCTGTAACGCTGGCACTTGGGAGATGGAGGGAGAGGAGCAGGGATTCAAGGCCAGCCTGGGCTTCGTGAGACCCCCATCTGCATTCCTGCACACACACCGAAAATAAGAAAAGAAAGAGAACCGCAAAGCAGAGATGGCAATGGAGTGAGCCAGAGATATGCAGAAAAGGGAACGGGGGTGGAGTGTGTGGGGGGGAGAGACAGACATGCAGGAAGGGGGTGCTTTGAATAGAGGATCCCAGGTTGGTGTTAGTGTCTGTGGGAGCCTGGGAGCAGGGCCAGGGTGTGCTGTTGGTACCATGAAGGCTTTGGCTTCCCTTGACCCCTCCCAGCTCCCGGGGTGGCAGTTTGCCCCTGTCTGGTAGTGGCTCTGGCTGCCTGGGGCTGGTCGGTGTCATCTCAAGAGGTTCTTTAGGTAGTCAAGCAACAAAAGGCATGGATCCTAGCCCAGGACTTGGTCCAGGGAGGCTGAGACAGATGGACAGCTGGATGGGCAGGGTCTAGACCCTTGCTGCAGGCTCTCTCTTCACCTCCAGCCTGTGGGGTTGCCCTGGTTCCTCTCTCTCTTGTCCTCTGGTCCAGTACAGTCTACTTGTACCCTGTGGACAAGGTCCTGTTCTCCACAGCTTCTCACCTTGTCTCTGACCTCCCAGGCCTTGGGTTCCTTCCAAAGACAGAGGACCCATGTGAGGCAAGCCTTGCTCTCCCCAGGGAGAGAGCTGTCTTGCATCTGTCTGGGCACATGGCAGCCAGTCTCCCAGTCCCCAGCCTACTGAGAGCACTCCAGCTGACCGGAGTAATCTTCCATTTCTCTCTCTGCCTGCAAGACCCGCTCCTTCCTCCCATCTCAGCTCAGCCATCTTTCCCTGACGTTGTTCTAACTTCAAAGGGCCGCGCATCCCCTGGCCCTCCCCAGTCACAGCGCCCCCTGCTGGAGTCACCTGCACGTCTGTTGGCTTCCCTGCTGGGTCACAAACCCGCAGAGGTTCTGGACCCCGTTGGCAATCTTCCCAAGAGTTCTAGAAAATATACAAATCATGCAAGATATGTTCAGCTACAAAAACCTGCCACAGAGGAAAACAAAAAGAAACAACATTCATGTACAGTCTATGGTCAGATCACAGAAGCTGCTTCTGGGACGGGTGGTAGTGGTGCTTGCCTTTAATCCCAGCACTCTGTGCAGGAGGCAGGTGAATCTCTGTGAGTCCCAGGGCCATCAGGGATACATGATGAGATGCTGTTTAAAAAAAAAAAAAGGCTGTTTTTTTTTCTCCACATGTAAAGAGCTCTTATTAACCAATAACATTTGACTGATGATGCAACAGACACATGGACTAAAGTTGTGACAAATGGTGATTTCAGAATGCAGAAGAGTTCAATAGGACAAAGGCAAAGATGCGAGCAATAGAGAGAGCAGCTGCACCAGACCCTGTCTCTAGCGACAAAACAGATATGGAAACTGCGGTCAGGTAGACTCTTGCAAAACTGCTGTCAGGAGCTTATTTATTTTAATAAAACGTGACAGCAAGGATGTGAGGTCATGTCATCTTCCTGGGTGCTCTTTTTGGAGCATATCAGTGCATAGTTCAGTATTAGCTGTGCCTCCCTACCCCAGCTGTTTTACAGTGAGAAGTTTCTCACGGCTGGGTTTGTAAAGGGCACAGGGAACTGGCTACCCCAAATG